AATGAAGACAAGTGAGCACGTGAAACGCACAGACTTCACATGGCTGGAATCCAGGATTCAGAACCTGGGTAGGGGAGGGAGCTCCCTGAGTTATGAGAGGAGGAACGGGTGGCAAATCCAACTATCGGTGACCCGTGAACTTTAACCCCGTACTGTCAAGGGTCAACTGTGTGTATATATTATGTGTCTTGCATTTTGTCCATTTGATATTAACATAAAACTTGAAGAGACCCATCGGGGATGTGGGCAGCACCGAGTGCCGTGGACGCGCCTGAGCCCAGAGCTCCCAAGGAGCCTCCTTACTTCCTCATGGGCCGAGACTCCCATCACAGACCCTGGACATCAGTGTCATGGCTGACCGAGAGCAGCTAATGCTTTTTCTTTTCTTTTTTTTTTTGAGACAGAGTTTCACTCTTGTGACCCAGGCTGGAGTGTAATGGCGCGATCTCGGCTCACCGCAACCTCCGCCTCCTGGGTTCAGGCAATTCTCCTGCCTCAGCCTCCCGAGTAGCTGGGATTACAGGCACGCGCCACCACGCCCAGCTAATTTTTTGTATTTTTTTGGTAGAGACGGGGTTTCACCATGTTGACCAGGATGCTTTTTCTAACCAAATAAATAACAACTCAGATAGGACTTGCCTTGTCAAAATTCAAAGGGCATTATTTTGAAATATATTCTTAAAAATGGATTATTCATTAAGTGGCACCAGCCAACCAGTTAAGCATTTGGGGAAAAATAGTTTCTCCTTAATACAAATTAAATTCCCGAAGGTTAATGACTTGACATTAAAAAAAAAAAAAACTAAAAATATGGAGTATGTTTTATTGTTTTTATAAGAAAAGTCTGTTTTTATTTTTAGAAGTTTCAATCCAGACCATAAAAAAGAAAGAATTGAGTACATAAAAGTGTCCAGGACAGTGCAGAGAAGACAAATACTTAGATTGCAAGCTGTAAAAAAGTTTTGCATTCTATATGCCAAAAAACTCACATCCATAAAACACGAAATGCCCTTAAAGTCAACACAAACACCGCAACTGAGAAAACAAATGAGCCAAATCTATAAATAGGCAAATGGAAGGAGAGGGGAAAAATCGGAAAATAACTGAGAAAAAGGCTTCAGCCTTAAAGGAACAGGCAAAGCCAGCGTGAGGTCACCGAAAGCGATTATTTCTCTGGTAACTTGACCAGGACGAAACAGCTGGAAGCCCCAGTGCTGGCCGGATGTGGGATGCCCGCAGACCACCCGGGGGTGCAGCTGGAAGCCCCAGTGCTGGCCGGATGTGGGATGCCCGCAGACCACCCGGGGGTGCAGCTGGAAGCCCCAGTGCTGGCCGGATGTGGGATGCCCACAAACCACCCGGGGGTGCAGCTGGAAGAACCGTCTGTGAGGCCAGTTGGTCAGAATTGGCCAAAACTCAGATGCAGGTTGGTTTTAAGCTGGCACCTCCTCTTCTAAGCACCGCCCACCGTGACCTGCTGGGAGTCCTCCGGGGAGGGGAGAAATCGCCGCATCCACAAAGCGCGTTGTCCGGAATATTCCTCAAAACCAGAAGCTCCCCAGCGGCCACTTGCTGTGAACGGTGAGGAAATGACAAGGTACGTTGAAGAGGTTAGGCCTGTCTACTTCTGCACCCGGAAGCAAGGAGCCACAGGTCCTGTGGAGCCACAGCATGACCCGGGATGTGGGTGTCGACGTGTGCTGGGAGGAAGCTCAGACCCTGCCTGCCTCTCCCACCGGACTGCAGGAGAATGGAATGCCGGCCTGGTGGTACCTGTGGCCCCAGTGCCTTATCAAGTACACCCATCATGGTTTCAGAAACCTGCTGGAATATTCTCTGGGGAAGGAGCCCGTGAGGTTGCTCCCTGGGCAGGCTCTGTGTTCTCACTGCCCGAGCTGGAACCGGAGCCCTGCCATCCCCAGGGGAGCTGGCCTGCTGCGATGCTTGGAGTTTCTCTGCATCTTCCTCTGTGAAGTGGGGTGCATTGCGCTGCTCAGGCCATGTAACAAAACAGGGCAGGCGGGCAGTGTACGCCACAGACGTCACCCCCTCAGGGTCCCGGAGGCTGCAATCTGAGATCCAGACATGGGCAGGCCGATTCCTCCAGAACCGTCTCTTGTCAGCTGGTGGACGGCACCCTCCCTTGGTCTTCCTGCTCCCGGGAGCCCCCCTGCTGCCTCTCTGGGTGTCCTGATCTCCTCTTCTTTCAGGGACTCCGGTCACAGTGGATCAGGACCACCATCCTGGCCTCATTGTAACAATCACCTCTCCAAAGCCCCTGTCTCCAAATGCAGTGACATTCTGAGAGACCCTGGAGGATACAGCTTTACCCTGTGAATTTGGGGGGACGCAATCAGCCCATAACAAGGAGTGATGATGGTGGGGTCTGTTGTGCAGGAGGCTGAGGCCACCAGGCGACCCAATGCCCGTAAGCTGTCTCAGACACAAAGAAGCATCTTGGTACAATGAGCCCTCCTGGGGCCGGGACGCACAGCCACAGCTGAGACTCACCCTCCTGAAGCCCCCGAGGGCTGGTGGGATCACTTTCTATTCATTCTAGGATGTCTAATAATGATAATACACTGCTCAAGTGTTAGCTGCAGTGAACACTAGATCCCCCGACTCGGAACCCTCTCTCTGAACCGCCTTCCACACACGAACGGCACGCAGTTGTGAAGGACACATTCCACAACAGTCTCATTGTCACTCTAAGAGGCCGGGTCTGGCTCTGTCGACTAGGCTGGAGGGCAGAGGCATGTTCACAGCTCACAGCAGCCTTGACCTCCTGGGCTCGAGCGATCCTCCTGCCTCAGCCTCCCAAGCAGCTCAGGCCACAGTGTACACTACCACACCCAGCTAATTTTTATAATTGTCTGTAGAGATGGGGGTCTCGCTGTGCTGCCCAGGCTGGTCTAGAACTCCCGGCTTCATGCGATTCTCCTGCCTAGACTCCCAAATGATCAGAACTACAGGCATGAATCACCATGCCCAGCCCAGTCTCAAGCAAATATTTAATGGGGAAAAAAATGTTGGTGCTTAAAGGTGGGAAGGGTCGGGGATGAGCAAGACGGTTTCCAACAAACAAGGCCGAGGTTTGCCTGAGCTTCCAGCAGGGCCACCTGTGGCCTCCTCCTGGCAGGCGCCGCCAGTTGGGAGCTCAGCAAAGACAGTCACCAGACCTCATGGCTGGGTCATCCTTCCTGCCACACTGACGTGCCCTCTCCCCTGCCTTCTGGAGAGGGCTCCTTCAGATTGTCACTTTATTAGGAACTGAAAAAATCAAGTTCCCATGTCTTGAAATCCTCACCGGTTCAGTCTCGTGCATCAAGAAATAAAGTTAATGGAATTTTGCTAACAGACTTTGCAAGGGGCGCTCCTTTCTCCGGCTCCCCACCACCCATTTTTTTTTTCGTTACAGTAATTGCCGTCTGAGCCTCAAAAGCTAGAAATCGTTTTTCATCTCATGCATGAAGAATTTCCATCTGATTGATGACAGCGACAGAGCCTTTCCTTACCCATGGAGCTGCACTAATTTGCAAGCTAAAACAATATTAGCAAATTGTTAATGGCCCATGAAACTGCAGGAGCGGCCTTAAGTGTTGTGTGCTCAGGACTCCTGACAACTACAGCTGCTTACCTAAGTCCCCAAGGTGGCAGCAAGAGGAGGCGGCTTCTACACTCCGCCACAGAGGGAGGGAGGGACTGTCTCCCCACCACCAGGTCCTCTGCGGGATTGGCATGGCAGGCACGCCCACAGCCACCCACTGTTGTGGTGCAGACAGAGCAGGTCTGGGTAGCAGCTGGGACTGAATTTTCAGGTAGCGTGAAAGCTGGCACCAGCTCTCCATCGGAGCGGATACCTGTGGTCTCCTTTAGAGGCTGGGCCAATGGCCTGTGTCTGCCAATGAACTCTTCTTCAAGGGAGAAGCCGTCCCGCACAGGCCTTGGTGCCCATTCGGCCCCTTCGCAGCTTCACGGGGCTCAGCAGATCCCACGGCGTTCCTGCCACGGCTGCCCCAGGTGTGCCCAGAGCTTGGGAGGCTGTACAGGCAGCCCATTGCCAGCGGGGAGTGAGCACCGCTGTCATACAGGAACCATGCCAGGTGAGCTGGCGGTAGGTTCCCTGGCAGAAGGTCTTGCCGTTGTAAAGACACAATATTGGGCCCATGACAGCCGGGCTCAGGTTACAAGAAGGCTGAGTCTTTCAGGACAGATAGGTCAAGAAATGCACAAGCTGGGGCTCTCAAGTTTGGGCGCTGTCACTTAACTGATGCACTAAGCAGGACTGGAGAAGAGTGGCAGCAACTGTCTGCACGCGGCTCACCCTCCTGAGCTACCTGCGCGACTGTCCACGTGCGTGTCACCCTCCTGAGCTACCTGCCGCGACTGTCCACGTGCGTCTCACCCTCCTGAGCTACCTGCGCGACTGTCCACGTGCGTCTCACCCTCCTGAGCTACCTGCGCGACTGTCCACGTGCGTCTCACCCTCCTGAGCTACCTGCGCGACTGTCCACGTGCCGCTCACCCTCCTGAGCTACCTGCCTCGACTGTCCACGTGCGGCTCACCCTCCTGAGCTACCTGCCGCGACTGTCCACGTGCGGCTCACCCTCCTGAGCTACCTGCCGCGACTGTCCACGTGCGGCTCACCCTCCTGAGCTACCTGCGCGACTGTCCACATGCGTCTCACCCTCCTGAGCTACCTGCCTCGACTGTCCACGTGCCGCTCACCCTCCTGAGCTAGCTGGTGGGCCAGGATGGCAGCTCATTCCAAGATCTAAATCAGTTCCAAGTGGATCATGAGTTCTCATCCTGCAGATACTCAAGGGAATATGCAACAGGTTCTGGAAAGAAATATGAAAAGGGTATCCTAAATATGTGTTGTGTGTTTGAGAGCACATTGAATGCTCCAAGATTCCAGTTGAAAGAATAACCATCCTGGGTTTTTTTTCTTGTGAGTTGGATGTGTGAAAGCAAGATGACAGGGAGGGGGAAGAAGGAGGAGGAGCCAGGCTGGTTTTCATCCAAGCCCAGGCAACTCCACTCACCGTGCTCAGGTCCCGTTTGAGAAACCTGGAATCCTACACCGCCCGGGGGCTCAGCGTTGGAAAGGCTCTCCCTCCGTATGGAGAAATTCCATCTCTAGACTCTGATAAATGGGCTTCCTGAAAGTTCCTGGAATCCGATCCCTGCTGCCTGGCAGGGCGGCCGGCTCTGTTTGTGACACCCTAATTGTCAGCGGCTTCTTCCTTACACAGCCCTGCAGTCTGCCTGCTCCAGCTTCTGATGGACCTAATTCTGGAACTTCACATTTTCTCCTAAGGGGTTTATCCAGGTCAAGGCCAGCTCCATGACAGCTCTCCCCAGAATACAGATGCAAAGGAGACAGGCACAGCAGGGAGCAGAAGGCTGAGGCCCCTTTGTCCCCGCCCCAGCCCGGATGTCTGAGAGTCCCCATGCTCCCTCCCCATGCCCCCACACATCTCCCTTGGCGGGCGCCTCTGAGGCTTGGCCGTCAGCACTGACTGACCCAACTGTCTTAGTCCACTCAAGCTGCTATCACAACAAATACAGTGGACTGGGTGGCCGAAGACACAGACATTTACTGCTCCGTGTTCTGGAAGCTGGAAGGCCAAGATCAAGGTGCTCGGAGACTCCATGTCTGGTGAGGGTGTCCGGTGCCCACACGGTACCTCCTCACTGTTATCCCACCGGGGAGTGGGGAGGGTCTCTCCGGGCCCTTTCATAAGGACGTTCATCCCATCCCTGAGGGCTGCAACCATGGCTCATAATGCCACTGCAGGTGGGGATTTCTACCTGTGAATTCTGGGGGGACACCCGTGTCCAGCCCTTTACAGCGCCCAGCCTGACAACGGTCCCTGGAGCAAAGCTGGCAGGAGCACCAGGAAGACGGAGCCTGCCGGGCTGGGCTGGGCCGGTTCTTCCCACATCCCACGGGTGCACCACACAGCCAAGGAGGGGTGGAATTCTTGTCATCATCGAAATGGTTTAGCATCTACGCTGGATTTATAAGAAGCTCTGAACGTAGCTGTGTTTGTGCAAATCTGCCACCTTTAATAAAAATGGCCGTCTCTCTATTGCAACTCACGCCTGGAAACTTCACTGCACTGTGGACGTTCTCCTCCTTTATCCTTCACGGACAAGTGGGAGGTGCGGACACGCCTGTCTCTAGCTTGCTGCTGAAGACGGGGAAGGCCAGCTAGGAGGAAGCCACGCGCCCGAGGCCGTCTGACTGTGGAGAAGACGAGGAGGCCACATTCCAGGGCATCTGTCTCAGCTCAGAGTCTGCAGAATTTTGTGTCTGCCGCGCTGGGGTCTGAAAACGTGTCCTGGCCGGGCAGGCTGGAACCTGGGCTTATGGTGCACCTCAGAGCAGCTCAACGCAGCTCACAGGCCTGCCACACAGAAAGGGAGAACTGCACGTGAAGAGAGAGTGTGCCGAGAAAACTCGCCTCTGCACCAGAAGGTCCCTCTGTGAACAAGCAGCAGAGCCCACGCCACAGGCAGGTGCCGCTGACGGGCGTCTATCAGGCCCACTCCGTCCCGACCAGCTCACTTTTCAGGGATGCGCTGGACCTGCTGGGCCTCCGGAGCACCGAGGGACGGGGCAGCACATCAGAGCCTTGACCCGGTGAGTATCCTGGGACCTCGGTAACAAAGTACCTCATGGGGGGAGCAGGGGGAATCCTAGACAGGGACTGATGCTCACAGTGGAGGGGGGAGTCACATGACAGGGACTGAGTCCCATAGTGGGGGGTCACATGACAGGGACTGACTCCCATAGTGGGGGAGTCACATGACAGGGACTGACTCCCATAGTGGGGGGGTCACATGACAGGGACTGACTCCCATAGTGGGGAGGTCACATGATGGGGACTGACACCCCTAGTGGGGGGAGGAGTCACACGACGGGGACTGACTCCCATAGTGGGGGGTCACATGATGGGGACTGACACCCATAGTGGGGGGAGGAGTCACACGACGGGGACTGATGCTCACAGTGTGGGAAGGAGTCACATGACAGGGACTGACACCCATAGTGGGGGGGTCACATGACAGGGACTGACTCCCATAGTGGGGGGTCACATGATGGGGACTGACACCCATAGTGGGGGGAGGAGTCACACGACGGGGACTGATGCTCACAGTGTGGGAAGGAGTCACATGACAGGGACTGACACCCATAGTGGGGGGGTCACATGACGGGGACTGACTCCCATAGTGGGGGTCACATGACAGGGACTGACACCCATAGTGGGGGGGTCACATGACAGGGACTGACTCCCATAGTGGGGGGGTCACATGACGGGGACTGACTCCCATAGTGGGGGGGTCACATGACGGGGACTGACACCCATAGTGGGGGGGTCACATGACGGGGACTGACTCCCATAGTGGGGGGGGTCACATGACGGGGACTGACACCCATAGTGGGGGGGTCACATGACGGGGACTGACGCTCACAGTGGGGGGAGGAGTCACATGACAGGGACTGACACCCATGGGGGGGCGGTCACACAATGGGGCCTGAGGCCCTCACGTGTCTGGGACAAAGGCATCGGCCACACTCCCTGGAGGCTGTAGGGAGGACCCTTCCAGCTGCCCAGGGTTTCAGGAATTCCTCGGTTTGTAGACTCTCCACCCTCTGACTCCGTCTTCAGGGGCCTTCTTCTCTGTCTCCATGTCAAGTGTACTCTTATTATAAGGATCCCAGCACTGGACTGGGGCCCAGGACCTCAGCCTGACTTGATTATACCTACAAGGCCCCATTTCCACGTAAGGTCACGTTCGCAGGCACGGGGGCTGGGACTTGTACTTTTTGGAGGATGCAAGTCAGTCATAACAGTAAACCAGGATGTGGCTTTGGACGAGGGGAGCTAGACTGCTGGAAATAGCACGGACAGCTGTGATTCAATCGAGAGAGAGGAGCTGGTTAGCATGTGACATCATTCTGCTCTTATTAAAAAGCCTGATCACTGCATTATAATAAGTTTTCCAAAAGAACGGTCAGCAAGAATCAGTTTCAGGATCAATAACCTCAGAATTACATGTAAGTCAGATAAAAGTTTAATTCTCCTAATTGGGAATTTGGTTAATTTAGACAGCGGCTGAGCTGTTTCCTTTTGATGTATAAAGACACACACACATTTCTGTGTAAGATAAATGCAGAAGCAGAAACTGGCCAAAACCACAAGTATCATCTTTGCTGATCATCAGTGCCACTTACAGATCACGGTGAGTTATCGTCAAACCTTAAGTATCTGGAAGACCTTCAGCGGTAGTGTTCACTCACTCGCTCTTCGGTCTCACTTCACTGGACACTTTGACTGTCTAGAGTAGTATGTGGGGTTTGGGAAAGGACGGGGCACAGAGGGCCCAGCAGCCTTGGGTGACCTCAGAGTCGGAGGAGGAGGAGGACGAGGAGGAGGAGGAGGAGAGGAGGAGGAGAGGAGGAGGAGGAGAGGAGGAGGAGGAGAGGAGGAGGAGGAGGAGAGGAGGAGGAGGAGGAGAGGAGGAGGAGGAGGAGAGGAGGAGGAGGAGGAGAGGAGGAGGAAGAGGAGAGGAGGAGGAGGAGGAGAGGAGGAGGAGGAGGAGGAGGAGGAGGAGGAGGAGGAGGAGGAGGAGGAGGGGGGCAGCTGTGTTGGGCAGCAGCAGAACCGTGTCCACCAGCATCCCTGGGGTTGCAGCAGTATCAACGCAAGGCCAGGCACAGTGGCCCACACCTGTGATCCCAGCACTGTGGGAGGCCGAGGCGGGAGGATCACCTGAGGTCAGGAGTTCAAGACCAGCCTGGCCAACATGGAGAAACCCTGTCTGTACTAAAAATACAAAAATTAGCCAGGTGTAGTGGCACATACCTGAGATCTCAGCTACTTGGGAGACTGACGCAGGAGAACTGCTTGAACCCAGGAGGCAGAGTTTGCAGTGAGCCGAGATGGCACCAGTGCACTCTACCCTGGGTGACAGAGCAAGAGTCTATCTCCAAACAAACAAAAATTAAAAAGAACAAAAATTATGTCCCAGAATTTTCTTCCTTTACTGATATCTTAACTCAAAATCAACTCAGATCTTCCCACAAGAAGCTAAAAATCAAATACATTCACTCCGAGGGATAAAACTACCAAGTACTAAGGGAAATTACAATTAAAAGGTGATCCGGGGCTGGGCAAGATGGCTCACGCCTATAATCCCAGCACTTTGGGAGGCCGAGGCGGGTGGAGCATCTGAGGTCAGGAGTTCCTGACCAGGCTGGCCAGTATGATGAAACTCTGAAACCTGTAAAAAAGTTAGCCAGGTATGGTGGCACATGCCTGTAATCCCAGCTACTGGGGAGGCCGAGACGGGAGAATCACTTGAACCCAGGAGGCAGGAGTTGCACTGAACCGAGATCGCAACACTGCACTCGAGACTGAGCCACAGAGGGAGACTCTGTCTGAAAAAAACAAATCAACACAAGACACTCTCCTGTTAAGAAAGCAGGTGTTGTGGCTCACGCCTGTAATCCCAGCACTTTGGGAGGCTGAGGCCGGTGGATCACAAGGTCAAGAGATCGAGACCATCCTGGTCAACATGGTGAAACCCTGTCTCTACTAAAAATACAAAAAATTAGCTGGGCACGTTGGCGCGTGCCTGTAATCCCGGCTACTCAGGAGGCTGAGGCAGGAGAATTGCCTGAACCCAGGAGGTGGAGGTTGCGGTGAGCCGAGATCGCGCCATTGCACTCCAGCCTGGGTAACAAGAGCAACTCTGTCTCAAAAAAAAGAAAAAGAAAAAAAGAAAGCAGGTGTCGTTAGATCCCACAGAGAGCAGTCTTGTTTTTAAGGACTTAAAAAGTAATGGAAATTGTCAAGGAAGCAGGATCAGAAAGTCTGGGCTGAAGCAGTCTGGAGGTGGCACTCACAGGTTGGGGGACTGCTCAGGGCAGCTCTGCGGTGGGGAGAGCCACGTGGGTCACACGGGGCCTCCTGACCAGCAGAGCACTGACCCTGACAGAAAGCCACGCAGCTCTCCCTGGAGAAAGGACGGGCGCAGCAGTGAAGAGAGACCACCGGTAAGTGGCAGGTGCATCGGAGCGGACTTCCTAAAACGCATCAAGCGGGGAGAATGAGACGGGAAATCTGAAAGCAGAAATTGTAAAAGCGTGCCAGGTGGAGCGCACATCTGCTCAGACCACGCCACAGGCGACGGAGAATAGAAGACGGCGTGCCAGGCACAGAGCAAATCCCAGCAAGCGGCAAAAAATACCTGCGTTTAAAACCCACACTCCCAAACAACGTGTGCTTGAAAGGAGAAATCACAAGGACAATGAGAGTGCCTGGAAGTGAAGGATGGCGAATGCATGACAGGTGAGGCGTGTGAAACCAGGAAGACGGCTGTTTGGAGAAAACAGCGTAGAATAAAAACCCAGAATGTGGAAAACAAAAAGGCATGAAGTATAAGAAGAGCTGAGGCCGGGTGCGGTGGCTCACGCCTGTAATCCCAGCACTTCGGGAGGCCGAGGCGGGTGGATCACGAGGTCAAGAGATCGAGACCATCCTGGTCAACATGGTGAAACCCCGTCTCTACTAAAAATACAAAAAATTAGCTGGACGTGGTGGCGCGTGCCTGTAATCCCAGCTACTCGGGAGGCTGAGGCGGGAGAATTGCCTGAACCCAGGAGGCGGAGGTTGCGGTGAGCCGAGATCGCGCCATTGCACTCCAGCCTGGGTAACAAGAGTGAAACTCCGTCTCAAAAAAAAAATAATAAATAAGAAGAGCTGAAAACAAATCAATTAAAGACTTTAGAATAAAAAACAGCACAGAAAAGTATATAACGATGTGGGTGTTTTTGTGAAAAGATTGATCAATAAATAGCATCTTGTGAGATTGATAAAGGGGGAAGGAGATGAGAGACGCTCAAATGTTATTAATAAGGCAATTGGGAGAGCAGCTGGTCATGTAGCAGATGTTGGAAAGATGGAGAAGATGTTGAACACTTAAGTAAAGTAAACCATTTCAAACATCGAAACCGACTTAAGAAAAAATAGAAATTCTAACAGTCATATACATACGCAATAAATTTAGTATATACTTAAAAACACCAGATCCAGAAGGTTTTAGAGGGGAATTCTGTCAACTTTCCAGGAATAGAGCGTCGTGTATTTATAGGAACTCTTACAAAGACTAGAAAGGAATACATTTGGTCTCCAAACCCTTAAACTGGCCTACTGTAACTTCAGTAACAGAAGAAAGCACAGATGCTAAAACTCTATGCAAAAATATTCATAATCAATTCAGTAATCAATTAATAATTATGTATGTTTTATCCAAGGAATGGAAGAGTGGAATACCCATGAAAAATATATAATATTCACTCACCAAATTCACTTATTAAAGGAGAAAAATCTTATAATTAACATATGCAAAAAAGCATTCCATAAAAGCTAATATTTATTAATTATTTTTTAACTTTCTTAACCCAGTACATTTAGTCCATAAAACCCCAGGACATTTAGTCCATAAAACCCCAGGACATTTAGTCCATAAAACCCCAGGACATTTAGTCCATAAAACCCCAGGACATTTAGTCCATAAAACCCCAGGACATTTAGTCCATGAGAAACCCCAGGACATTTAGTCCATAAAACCCCAGGACATTTAGTCCATAAAACCCCAGGACATTTAGTCCATGAGAAACCCCAGGACATTTACTCCACCAGCAACCCCAGTACATTTAGCCCACCAGAAACATGTCGCAAATAGAATCCCTAAAGATAAAATGAAATGTAATCCGTACCGCACATTATATGCAAAAATAAGTTCCAGGCTGGCTAAATGTGAAAGGCAAACCTTAAAATTCTGAGGATACCAAAACATAAAACCACCTCATGGTGGAGAAGAACTCCTTAAAGCAAGCACGTACGCAAGCACGTAAAACCATTAATCATCAAATTAGGGACAAATTTGTTTATGTTAAAACGTGAAACACCTGTTCAGCAAGACGCCGTAAACTTGAGACGAAGTCATAAACTGTGTGAAGAGAAGTTATTGATCGGAAACAACAGAACATCAACAGAAAACAGGTGAGTCGCTGGACAACAAAAGGGCTACACTCCCGGGTCCTGGCTAGAAGCTCGTTTCGCAGGTTTTTCTTTTTACCACAGTGCTGTGTAGCCTCCACCCATATGGCATCTATGACTGTCTACGTGTCCGACGGACATACAGGAAGCTTGTTGACCCGTAGGAATTAGATTCCAGAGTCCACGTGATGCAAAGCTGACTCACTCATCCAAGATCCTTTCCTTGGGGGCCGTTTACCGCGCCCTGGGCAGCCTTCAACCTGAGTCTGGCTTCCTTCTTGGCCACAGGAAGGTTCTCTGCCTTCTCTGTCGCAGCTCCCGTGAGACTCACCCTGGCTCCCTTGTCCACCTGCAGCCGGACCACAGATCCTTCCCCTTGATGGACCTGCTGACAAGACCAGACAGGGACCCCTCCCCTCCCACCCCTCACCAGCTCCTCCATCTCTGCCTCGTGAGTGACTCCCTGGGAACAGAACTCTCTGACCCTGAAACCAGCTGGGCACGGAGACCAACATGCCTCGTGCAGCTGAGTGACAGAGGGCTTTCCTGCTGAGGAAGCGTCCTGGCTGCCGTGCGGTCTCTCCAGGTCTGAGTGCTCTCAGCTGGAAGCAAATCCATCCTCTCACTTGTTCGTGTTTTGCCTTGAGTCTGACTTGAGTGCTTACAAATTTGGAAAAGTTTGGAAAACGGGGTACGAAAGAAAGGGTGATAACGTTTCCGAATTGTTGTGGACGGGAGAGTGTCGTTGACCCGCCCCTTTGGCACAGCTTTGGAAACAGAAAGTGCTTCCAAGGCCTCAGGCACAGAGGCAGGTGCACGCCCTACGGACGTCTCTGTCTCCACCCAGGAGACCCCCACACCTGCAGCAACCCTGTCGAGTGGCCATTCATGTGTGTGTGTGCGTGCATGTGTGTGTGCGTGCATGCCTGGGTGTGTGTACATGCCTGTGTGTGCATGTGTGTGTGCATGTGTGTGTCTGTGTGCATATGTGTATATGTGCATGCATGTGTGTGTGTGCATATGTGTATATGTGCATGCATATGTGTATGCGTGCATGCCTGTGTGTGTGCGTACATGCCTGTGTGTGCATGTGTGTGCGTGCATATGTGTATATGTGCATGCATGTGTGTATGCGTGCATGCCTGTGTGTGTGCGTACATGCCTGTGTGTGCATGTGTGTGTGCGTGCATATGTGTATGCGTGCATGCCTGTGTGTGCATGTGTCTGTGCGTGCATGTGTGTGTGTGCATGTGTGTGTGCGTGCATATGTGTATGTGTGCATGCATGTGTGTATGCGTGCATGCCTGTGTGTGCATGTGTGTGTGCGTGCATGTGTGTGTGCGTGTGCATGTGTGTGTGCATGCATGTATGTGTGCATATGTGTGTCTGTGTGTGCATGTGTGTATGCGTGCATGCCTGTGTGTGTGCGTACATGCCTGTGTGTGCATGTGTGTGTGCGTGCATATGTGTATATGTGCATGCATGTGTGTATGCGTGCATGCCTGTGTGTGTGCGTGCATGCCTGTGTGTGCATGTGTCTGTGCGTGCATGTGTGTGTGTGCATGTGTGTGTGCATGTGTGTCTGTGTGCATGTGTGTATGCGTGCATGCCTGTGTGTGCGTACATGCCTGTGTGTGCATGTGTGTGTGCATATGTGTATATGTGCATGCATATGTGTATGCGTGCATGCCTGTGTGTGTGCGTACATGCCTGTGTGTGCATGTGTGTGTGCGTGCATATGTGTATGTGTGCATGCATGTGTGTATGCGTGCATGCCTGTGTGTGCATGTGTGTGTGCGTGCATGTGTGTGCGTGTGCATGTGTGTGTGCATGCATGTATGTGTGCATATGTGTGTCTGTGTGTGCATGTGGGTATGCGTGCATGCCTGTGTGTGTGCGTACATGCCTGTGTGTGCATGTGTGTGTGCGTGCATGTGTGTATGCGTGCATGCCTGTGTGTGTACATGCCTGTGTGTGCATGTGTGTGTGCATGCATGTGTGTGCATGTGCATGTGTGTATGTGTGCATGCCTGTGTGTATGTGTGCATATGTGTGTGCGCATGTGTGTATGTGTGCATGTCTGTGTGTGCATACATGCCTGTGTGTGCATGTGTGTGTGTGTGTGCGTGTGTGTGTGTTGGGTGAAGGCAGAGGGCATTGTTCTTGAGTCTTACCCACCTCATGATGCAGCTGATTCACCAGTTAGTGAGGGAACTTGCAGCAAAAGTCAGGAGAGTGTCTCTTTGTATGGCTAAGACTGGAAATCCCAGCCTGGACCCATCTTCCCACACTGCACCAGGAAGGGAGGGAGGGGAGGTCACCAGCACCTAGAGGCTGCTGTCTCTGTGTCTGTCACCCTCATGGCTGCTGGTTGGTGGTGGGCAAGATGAATTTTCATTCAAAGATGTCTACTATGGAATTCATCCACATTTTTGTTTTTTAGGTACCAAGTATTTTACAATATTCCCTATCGCAGAATGTCCACAATGTGCAAATAAAGAGAATATGGGGGGCTCAGGGAAGCCCTATGTTCGGGGGGGTCACCCTGGGCATTCTTCAGCACATCTGTGCACATCCCCAGGACCTGGGTGTCCAGAGGCCTGCTGTCCACTTAGAATATAGGAAAAATGCAGATGCTAGTTTGCAATGGCTGAGACTTCCTACTCTCAGAATGATTCTAAAAGTGCAAGATTTTGCAAGAAAAAAATCACATCCTTAGAACTACAGGTTTTCAGCATGACTTTCCCGAATCTGTTCTTTCCCCTGAATCAGCCTCTCCCAGGAGCTCCAGTTCTGGGACACTGGCACAGCCTTAGTTAATTAACAGGAGTGAGTCAGCGAGGTTGAGAATATGTTTTGCAAATCGATGTGAGGAAGAGCTCCAGCTGTCTGAAGGATCGTGGGGTCGTGGATTTTAAAAATGCAGTTCAACCTCGCGCAGACTTGAAAACACGTAGCATAATTGTGTCACAGAAAGGGTTATTGCAACTTCTAACCGAGAGAGATGCCTTCTTCCTGTCGATGCTCACAGCTGCCTGCCCCTCCCCAAGACAGGAGGAGTTCCAGAATGAAAGTCATCCAACGTTTCTCCACGCTGAGCTTCTCCCGGGCGTCTGTGGCTTCTGGGTGGGGTGGGAGGGTTGAGCTTAATGGTTAAAGCCTTTTATGATCCGTCTCTCCTGATTCCTCACCAACCATCGCCTTTTCTGGAGACTTCCGATAGAATTCCCACCAGGATATTCCGTAGGCTCCCGGCTCCGGCACCCGCTTCCCTCTCCATCCCCCAAGCCCTGGGTATCTTAACCACCTCCTCCCTGAGCCCCGGCGTCTCAGCACACAGGTCCGTCTCAGGGCTCCCACTCCGGGCTGTGTGGAGCCCTGATATCTCAGAGGAGGAACACTGAATCCTGCCCACAAAACTGAACAAATTGCAAACCAGGAATAAAATGTACCTGCAACATTATCCCAGCAAAAGTCAGAGTTAATACCTGTATGTGGGGACTCCGTAGTGCGCCATGCCAGGCTTTCTCTGTCTGTGCACAGCACACCTCCTGGTTCTCAGCCAGGACCTGCCGGCTTGTCAGGCGGCCTCACTTGGATCTGGTGACAGAGCTGACCTGTGGGACTCAGTCTCCTAACCTCTATGGGGTGCCTCAGTTACCCTGCTGCTGGCGGGGACAGCGACTTTCTGCTACCACACGGGGTTCTCTAATGCAACGGTCCCCAGCCTTTTTGGCACCGGGGACTGGGTTTGTGGAAGACAATTTTCCCAGGGACGGAAGTGGGGTGGGGGATGATTTCTGGATGATTCAGTTACTGTGCACTTTATTTCCATTATTATTACATGGTGATATATAATAAAATAATTACACAGCCCGCCATCATGTAGGATCAGCGGGAGCCCTGAGCTTGTTTTCCTTCAACCGGAGGGTCCCATCTGGGGTCACGGGAGACAGTGACAGGTCACCAGGCATTAGATTCTCACGCACAGTTCACAATAGGGTCTGCGCCTATGAGAATCTGATGCCACTGTTCATCTGGCGGGAGGCGGAGCTGAGGCGGTCACGCTCCCTCGCCGGTTGCTCACCTGCTACTGTGTGGCCGGGTTCCTAACAGGCCACAGGCCGGAGTCCATGGGGTGGGGACCCCTGCTCTAACGTACACCTGGCATCACACACTATGACAGGCCCTTGGAGGACTGCAGGTGGGGGCTGAATGTCGCTGAAGTGGGAAAAAGCCCATTCCAACAGGTCACTCCTTAAGTGTATTATTTTTAACTTTCCATTCACTTTGTTCAATGGGCCTTTAAAACTGTGTTCCAGTTGACATTCCTACCCACTACATACAAAGTATTTTTTTCCCACAGACGAACATTCAATCATGTTTAAGGCCTAACGTAGAAGCAAGAGGAAAAACACGAGAAATGTCGCTTTTTAAATTAGCGACGCCGTGATCATTTAAATCTCTCATCAGAGATGTTTCTTTCACCTTCTGAGCTTGCCGCTTCGTGTAGTGTCGCTCTTTTCCTGATCATCTCAAGCGAAACTTACAATAAATCATGAGAAACATTGAAAGAACTCCTTTTGAGACTCTGGAAGTAAGAATTTCCGGCTTTCTCCGCGGAAGGAAACCTCAGGAGGCGCGACTTCTCCATCCTGAGGACAATCTGATTTTCCAGCAGAAAGCCCGTGAGTTCATTTCTCTATTCTTCTTCTTAGAAAAAAAACAATTCGTTCTAAGCTTTTACTTTCATTTCCTCCAGGAAAACAAAGTGGAAAAAAACGTTTCTGGGCCTCCTGTGTTCCTCCTGCACCTCGCACCTCCCGGCTTGGATTCCCAAAGCTCATCAGGCATGAAAATTCTCCCAGCACCTGCGGGAACCGCTTCGTTGCCAGCCCCTGTTACAGGCAAGCGGCTGTGTTTTAACTTTTAAAATATTCTCTCTGCTTTTTCAAGCATGACATTTTCTCCCAGTCACCCACACTGATACGAAGTTTGCACCTGAGGCTGAGACTCCCTGCTACATGCCCAGGCTTCCCAGAAAGTCGTCCTCAAATTCTCTATAGATGCAAGTTTGCCTGGGCTGGAAATTGGTGGTGCCGTGTGAGCATGTGTGTGTACCCATGTATGCACTGTGTGTGTGTGTGTGTGTGTGTGTGTGTGTGTGAGATTTATTCTAAGGAACTGGCTCATGCTGTTATGGAGGCTGACAGACTGAAACGTGTAGGGCAGTCCATCAGGCTGGAGATTAGAGCAGGTGTCTGTGTCAGTCTCAAGGCAGAATTCTGTCTTCTCCAGGAAACCTCAGTTTTGGTCGCAAGGCCACTAACTGACCAGGTGAGGTCCCACATGTTCCAGGGCCACCCAATTCAGGTCAGCTGTCGTGGCTGAGACACATCTACGCCACACCTTCCTGCACTGTCCAAACTAGGATTTGAGCAAACAACTGGGCACCATAACGTAGCCAAGCTGACACATAAAATCAGCAGTCACATATGCAAGTGTGTGCATGTATGTATGTGCATTGTGCACATGTGTGCATGTGTCTGTGTGTGCATGCATGTATGTGCATGTGTGCACATGTGTGCATGTGTCTGTGTGTGCGTACATGTATGCACATGAGTGCACGTGTGTGCATGTGTCTGTGTGTATGTGTGTGCATGTATGTGTGCCCCTTTGTGTATGTGTGTGCATGTGTGTATGCATGTGTGCATCCATGTATGTGTTCATGTGTATATGTGTGTTCATCCATGTGTGTGTGTTCATGTGTGTGCACGTGTCTATGCACATGTCTGTGTATGTGAGTGCATGCATGCATGTGTGTTCACTTGTCTGTGTGTATGTGTATGTATGTGACTGCATGCATACATGTGCGTTCACTTGTCTGTGTGTATGTGTGTGTATGTGAGTGCATGCATGTGTCTGTGTTCACTTGTCTATGTGTATGCATGTATGCATGTATTCATGCATGTGTTCATGTGTCTGTGTGTGAACGTATCTGTGTGTGCATGTGTGTGCACATGCATGTATGTGTTCATGTGCCCACGTGTGTGTATGTGTATGTGTGTATGCATGTGTGTGTTCATGTGTCTGTGTGTCTGCATGTTGTGTGTGCATGTGTCTGTGGGCATGTGTGTGCATGTATGTGTGTGCATGTTCACATGTCTCTGTGTTGTGTGTGCATGTATGTGTTCACGTGTCCGTGTGTGTGCATGTGTTGTATGTGTGTGCATGTTCACGTGTCTCGCTGTTATGTGTGTGCATGTTGTGTGTGTGCATGTATGTGTGTTCATGTGTCCATGTGTGTGCATGTGTGGTATGTGTGTGCATGTTCACGTGTCTCTCTGTGTTATGTGTGTGCATGTATGTGTGTTCATGTGTCCGTGTGTGTGCATGTGTGGTATGTGTGTGCATGTGTCTGTGTGGGGGGGTGTGCATATACAAGTGTATATAATTCTGCCCCAGGTTGGCTGGCCTGGCATTTCCCCTTCATGGTGACTGCGACCTTGTTAACTATGACCCACTCCTTCCGTCAGGAGTGAGAACTCACTAGCATGAGGCCTGGGTCAGGAGTGAGAACTCACCAGCATGGGGCCTGGGTCAGGTGTCCCTGACGATCCCACACTCAGCCCGTCTTTCTGAAAAACAACGTCATGGCAGCTGGTCCATTTCGGTGCTCAACAGAAACCTCAATCTGGCTGGGCCACGAGTGTCAGGGCAGGAGGTTCCCATCCCAGCCCCACACCCACCACTGGCCCAGCCTTCTGCAGGTGGTCTGGGGTTGTAACTCCCGGCCTTGAGGACAGAGCAGTTTGGAGTTCAGCTTGGCCAATTCATGGCTGAATCTTCTGACTGGGTGTCCACCATTTTCCCTTAGACCCCCACCTACCTTCCAAGACCCCCTCCTTGGGCCCACATCGCAGACTCTGTGCAAATCTGTGTGTCTCTTCTGACTGGGGCGGTGGATCCTCTGCCTGACCCACTGCATCGCCCAGAGCAGAATCTAAGCTTCTGAGTCATACTCTGTGCAGACACTCGGGCTTCCTCACCTCAGTCCAAAAACCATCTTCCCAACCAATGCGGTGCCTCCCAGCCCTGGCTCCTCGAGGTTGAGCCTCGCCTGGGCCCACCTTCCACAACTTGGACGCTCCCCACCCTCAGCCCAAGCCCTTTCTGTCTCTCGCCTTTAACCTCTCTCTCGCCAAGGGATGGTTCCCATCAGGAATAGGGTTTCTTTTGTGCCATCCCCTTAAGATGGGTGTAAAAAGAAAGTGTGGAACTTCCGGAAGCCCAGGCTGCCTGCTGGCCCCACCTGCCTCTCCTTGCCACCTCCCTTCACATCCAGAAGCGCGGAGCTGCTGCAGGCCCGCTGTGGCTGAACACCCAGCATCAGCCAGGGCGGCTCAGGGCTCTCCTCAGCTCACCAGGCGCATGCCTGGTTCATCACGGAATTCTTAGAGGCAGCCAGGTAGACGTGCCACGTTCACTTGCAAATCAGGAAGCTGAGGCTCAGGGTGTATTCAAATGGGGCAATGTTTTTATAACATACAGGATCATTTATAATCAATTCCTTTTTCTTTTTGTTTTTTGGGACAGAGCGTCACTCTGTCGCCCAGGCTGGTGTGCAGTGCCACGATCGGAGCTCACTGCAACCTCTGCCCCCCTCGTACAAGCGATTCTCCTGCCTTGGCCTCCAGAGTAGCTGGGATTGCAGGCGCCCACCACCATGCCCAGCTAATTTATGTATTTTTAGTAGAGATGGGGTTTCACCATATTGGTCAGGCTGGTTTCGAACTCCCGACCTCAGGTGATCCGCCCGCCTCGGCCTCCCAAAGTGCTGGGATTACAGGCGACTGGCCTGAGCCACTGTGCCCGGTCTGCTTGTTTGCTTGTTTGTTTGTGAGACAGAGTCTTGTTGCTCTGTCACTCACCCAGGCTGGAGTGCAGTGGCGTAATCTCAGCTCACTGCAACCTCCACTTCCTGGGTTCAAGCGATTCTCCTGCCTCAGTTTCCTAAGTAGCTGGGATTACAAGTGTGCACCATCACGCCTGGCCAGTTTTTGTATTTTTTAGTAGAGATGTGTTTTCACTATACATTGGCCAGGCTGGTCTTGAACTCCCGACCTCAGGTGATCCACCCGCCTCAGCCTCCCAAAGTGCTGGGATTACAGGCGACTGGCCTGAGCCACTGTGCCCGGCCTGCTTGTTTGCTTGTTTGTTTGTTTGTGAGACAGAGTCTTGTTGCTCTGTCACTCACCCAGGCTGGAGTGCAATGGCGCGATCTCGGCTCACTGCAACCTCCACTTCCTGGGTTCAAGCGATTCTCCTGCCTCAGTTTCCTAAGTAGCTGGAATTACAAGTGTGCACCATCACGCCTGGCCAGTTTTTGTATTTTTTAGTAGAGATGTGGTTTCACTATACGTTGGCCAGGCTGGTCTTGAACTCCCGACCTCAGGTGATCCACCCGCCTCGGCCTCCCAAAGTGCTGGGATTACAGGTGTGAGCCGCCACAGCCGGCCTCTGTTTTGTTTTTGAAAAGGTTAAGTAAATTTAGAAAGAAGAGTCATCTTGCAAATATTTAGCCTCCCAACCCATTCATGCGCCATACACCAATTCCCATCTCATTAGCTCTCTTTCAACTTCACTCAGCAGAGGTTTTAGCTTTCAGTGTAAAGAGCTCGGGTGGCCTTCACACACTGACTCCTAAGTACCATTTTCCTGCTATTGTAAATGGATTTCTTAAGTTTCACTTTCCGATTGCTCGTTGTTCTTTTGTGGAAATCTGACAGTTTTCGCATGTTGGCCTTGTTACCATGCTCATAATTTTTCTGCAGATTTCTTAGCATTTTCCACATAAGCAACCACGTCACTGCAAAGAGAGAAAATGTGACTTTTTCTCTCGCTATATTAATGCATGGTACTTATTTTCCTTGCCTCCTTGCTCTCTCTAGGACCTCTAGTGCACTGATAAATAGGTGTGAGTAAACGTTCTTTTTTTTTTTTTTTTTTTTTTGAGACGGAGTTTCGCTCTTGTTACCCAAGCTGGAGTGCAATGGGCGATCTCAGCTCACCGCAACCTCTCCACCTCCTGGGTTCAGGCAATTCTCCTGCCTCAACCTCCTGAGTGGCTGGGATTACAGGCACACACCATCATGCCCAGCTAATTTTTTGTATTTTTAGTAGAGACGGGGTTTTACCATGTTGACCGGGATGGTCTCCATCTCTCGACCTGGTGATCCACCCGCCTCGGCCTCCCAAAGTGCTGGGATTACATTCTTAAGTCACAGTGTTAAGTACATTGCTATTTGTGGAATAGAAATACATGATTAACCATATACACGATACCTCTATATAGAGATGACTTTCATCAGGCAGAAATTTTGTTCCATCTCACGTGGCTGAGTTTTGTCGTGAATAAGTGTTTGTCAGATTCTTCTTCTTCGTCTGTTAAGAGCATGTGGTTTCCTCCGGGATTCTGTTAATGAGTGAATGGCATCGATTAGTTTTGAATGTTGAATTCACCTAGCAGAGCCCCTCTCGGTCCCGATGCAGGTTCTGCTCTGCCTCCGTAGACTGCCAGGTTCTGTTTGCTGATGCTCCGTGGGGCGTGATTCCACAGACCTCCACGACGGACGTCTGCCTGCCACTTTCCCTTCTCATTACGCCGTTCCTGGGTGTGGCGTCGCGGCGTTGCTGACCTCATGAAAAGACCTGGGAAGTTCCTTCCTAAGTGCTGTGTAGAACAGATGCAATTTCTTCCTGATTTTTTTTTCAGAATTCACAAGCAACATCCTGTGTCTCTGTAGCTCCCGTGGAGAAGGTTCACGATTTATTTCTTTAGTAGATAAGCTCTCCAGAACTTACGCTGACTCTTCAGTCACGTGTTACACAGCTAGACATTTAAACATTTCATTAATTCTGTCACAGAAATGTTTTCTCTTGTCTTACTGTATTTTTTCTGTTTGTTTTTTTTGTATACCATCAACTTAGAGCTCGTGTTTTATCGGTGATTTTTTCTCATTCCTGTAAGTTGCTTTTCTTTTTACATCTGCTTATGTTGAAAAGTCAGATTACCGATTTTAAATCCTTCTTTTCTAATATAAGCGATTAAAGCTATAAGATTCCCTCCAAGCCCGATTTATCTGCATTCCCAAAATGTTAACAGTTTGTTTCATTTTCTGTCAGTAAAAATGTTTCCGTCTCCCGCTGGCTCTGCTCCTTCCGGTCCCATCTTGACTCCTCCTGTTCCTCTGGCATCTGCATTTCTGCGGAGCTTAGGTTCACGGGCCTCGTTCTGCCAGTGCCCACCTGCCACCACATGGACGTCTGCATTTTCAGGTTGTTTTTGCTTCCTTCCAGTGACAGCAGCAGTCCACCCTGCACAGAAGCCGCCTGGGCCAGAGCGGGCCACACCGACAGGCACCCGTCCCCAGCCGAGGGCGGCCCCCAGGACACAGCAGCGCTGGCTTGGCGAGGAGCTGGTGGTCGAGAGGAGGGGGCTGCGTGGTCCTGTGCGTGTGGCACGCGGAGGACAGCCGTGCTGCACAGGGTGGGGCCGCAGGCCTGGGGCTTCACCCATGTGAGATTTAGAAAGGCGTCTCCCCTTCCTGGGTCTCAGTCTCCCTACCTGTCGAAGCAGGACACTGTGCTCATGTCTCCTCTCCCACCCTTTCTGGCTTCTAGAAATGCTCCCGGCTTCACAGGCTCATGGGGAGGCTCAGAGGCGTGCAAGCTGTGCGTCTCCTACCGAGTTTCTCTCAGGAGCACGTTTCTGAGATTATTGTACGCCAGCTTTACAGGACACATGGGCTCTCACAGGCGTCCGAAGGAAAGACCGTCCCTGAAAATCAACCCCCACTCCGTATAGCGGGGGCTCCAAGTGGCTGGCTCTCGTGGAAGCCTGTTTGTGTCTCTGTGTGCGTCCGTGTGTCTGTGTGTGTCCGTGTGTGTGTGTCTGTGTGTGTGCCCGTGTGTGTGTCTGTGTGTGTGTCCATGTGTGTCTGTCCGTGTGTCTGTCCGTGTGTGTGTCCATGTGTGTAGTGCCCCAGCTTCTCCCATCTGGTTGAGCTAAGCTACCTCCAGCCTGGGTGCTCTGGGGTCAAGCAAAGGAGACGCCCAAGACCCTCCAGACACTGGAGAGGCTCCTCAGGAAGGAACTTCACAGCTGAAGCCTGATTTGCAAAATGCCAACCAACTCTGCCTTCTTCCTGGGGTCAGACCACAGCCCCACGTTGGATTTGGTGGGGACGTCAAAATGCAGAGCACACTTTTCTCTCTGTGTTCCCGTGGCCTCTTGCAGAGCAGAGACCCCGCATAGCCACAGCCTGGGTGCACGTGGACGGAATGTGCCCCTTCTGAGGACGCAGCCTCGGGAGTGGCCCCAAGACGTTTGAGGCGACTAGGAGATCCAAGAGCCCTGATCCCACCTGGGCTCAGCTTGGCTCCTCTTCTGACTTCGTCCCTGTGAACCTCCCCAGGGATGCGTGGGGCTGGGACTACCGTGCTCTTCCCCTTCAGCCTCCGTCCACGGCCACGCCTGGGGAGGAGATGGCACCTCCCGGCTCCACTCAGCTCTGTCCTTCAGAGGCGGCGGTATCCACGCACGGGGAGAAATGGCTCCTTGGGAACCACTCAGGACTGGCAGGAAATTACATGTTTAGAATAAATGCTGTATATTAAGGTTACCAAGAAAATTCTAGGAGAACACAGGCCTAAGAGGGGAGGCTCTGGGACAGGTGTGCTGGAGGCCTGAGGGGGGCTCTGGGACAGGTGTGCTGGAGGCCTGAGGGGAGGCTCTGGGACAGGTGTGCTGGAGGCCTGAGGAGGGGGCTCTGGGACAGGTGTGCTGGAGGCCTGAAGGGGGCTCTGGGACAGGTGTGCTGGAGGCCTGAGGAGGGCTCTGGGACAGGTGTGCTGGAGGCCTGAAGGGGGCTCTGGGACAGGTGTGCTGGAGGCCTGAGGGGGGCTCTGGGACAGGTGTGCTGGAGGCCTGAGGGGGGGCTCTGGGACAGGTGTGCTGGAGGCCTGAGGGGGGCTCTGGGACAGGTGTGCTGAAGGCCTGGGGGGGGGGCTCTGGGAAAGGTGTGCTGGAGGCCTGAGGAGGGGGCTCTGGGACAGGTGTGCTGGAGGCCTGAGGGGAGGCTCTGGGACAGGTGTGCTGGAGGCCTGAGGAGGGGGCTCTGGGACAGGTGTGCTGGAGGCCTGAAGGGGGCTCTGGGACAGGTGTGCTGGAGGCCTGAGGAGGGCTCTGGGACAGGTGTGCTGGAGGCCTGAAGGGGGCTCTGGGACAGGTGTGCTGGAGGCCTGAGGGGGGCTCTGGGACAGGTGTGCTGGAGGCCTGAGGGGGGCTCTGGGACAGGTGTGCTGGAGGCCTGAGGGGGGGCTCTGGGACAGGTGTGCTGGAGGCCTGAGGGGGGCTCTGGGACAGGTGTGCTGAAGGCCTGGGGGGGGGCTCTGGGAAAGGTGTGCTGGAGGCCTGAGGAGGGGGCTCTGGGACAGGTGTGCTGGAGGCCTGAGGGGAGGCTCTGGGACAGGTGTGCTGGAGGCCTGAGGAGGGGGCTCTGGGACAGGTGTGCTGGAGGCCTGAGGAGGGGGCTCTGGGACAGGTGTGCTGGAGGCCTGAAGGGGGCTCTGGGACAGGTGTGCTGGAGGCCTGAGGAGGGCTCTGGGACAGGTGTGCTGGAGGCCTGAAGGGGGCTCTGGGACAGGTGTGCTGGAGGCCTGAGGGGGGCTCTGGGACAGGTGTGCTGGAGGCCTGAGGGGGGGCTCTGGGACAGGTGTGCTGGAGGCCTGAGGGGAGGCTCTGGGACAGGTGTGCTGGAGGCCTGAGGGGGGCTCTGGGACAGGTGTGCTGGAGGCCTGAGGGGGGGGCTCTGGGACAGGTGTGCTGGAGGCCTGAGGAGGGGGCTCTGGGACAGGTGTGCTGGAGGCCTGAGGAGGGGGGCTCTGGGACAGGTGTGCTGGAGGCCTGAGGAGGGGGCTCTGGGACAGGTGTGCTGGAGGCCTGAGGAGGGGGCTCTGGGACAGGTGTGCTGGAGGCCTGAGGAGGACTCTGGGATAGGTGTGCTGGAGGCCTGAGGAGGGGGCTCTGGGACAGGTGTGCTGGAGGCCTGAGGGGGGCTCTGGGACAGGTGTGCTGGAGCCTGAGGGGGGCTCTGGGACAGGTGTGCTGGAGGCCTGAGGAGGGGGCTCTGGGACAGGTGTGCTGGAGCCTGAGGGGGGCTCTGGGACAGGTGTGCTATTGCTGGGGCTATTCCCTTGGTCCTTGTTTGCCTTTGAACCTGTGTGAAATTCCTGGGAGAGCTGAGAGAGCTCCCTGCCTGCCCCTACCTCAGCACCGGCCCTGGGCTAGCCTCCAGGTCTGATGCCCACCCTGCAGCCTGCACCCTCTCTCTGGGCCCTTCCTCATGAAGCAACCCTGGAAAGGGGGACACAGGGGAACTCAGCCTCCCCACAGTCCCTGGGGCGCAAAGTTGTCTCCACGAGCCCTTAGCGTCCACGTCCCAGCCCGAGGGACACAGCTGCGACCTCCCGTTTGTTCTCAAGTCATAGCTGTAATCAGCACCGCGTTGCTAATGAATGCAGCCTGCAAGCGTTTGTATTGGAAACAAGTGTTCTGGCTTTTTTCAGTGGCCATCCATCTTCCGGGCTTGCCTCTGTGACCTCCCCGGGCTGCGGACAATCCTCCCAAGAGGCTGCGGCTGTCCCTCCGCCCTCTCCCTGCCTGGCAAGGTCACCAATACTGCCACATCATGAGAAATGCCAGTGAGCTGGAGAGGCCGCAGGCCCATGGGATGGACTTGGGCGGCCTCTCCACGGGTGCCCCGCGCCTGGAGTCTCGCATCTAAACAGGGGCACCAGGCCTTCCTCAGCTTCTGCGGATGGGCAGCTGCACACAGGGCCTGACATCTCCGAGGGCTCAGGGTGAGTGCAGGGTGGTAGTTGGTCAGCCACGGTGGGGGAGGACGACAGAGGAAGGCTGGAGGTAAATGGTTGTGCGGCTCAGCATCAGAGAAGAACCGGCCCTGCTCAGCCGATCCCCCACTAGCCTCCTGGGCATGGGAATGTCCTCAGTCCTCAGCACACTGCAGGAGTGAGGCGGCGTCACTCTGGAGGGCTCAGGGCCAGGCTGATTCGGGGCCGTTCCCATCCTCAGCCGTTCTCCGCGTCTGTGACCATCCTCACGGGGCAGATGGGGAAGCTGAGATGTATAGCCTGGAGACGGATGAGAAAGAATCCAGTCCTTGGCTTTGTGGCTGGCCCACTGGTGTCCTCCAGCTCCTTCAGGAAGCCAGAGGACAAGCCACAAATCCACGTCCTACCTGGATCTGTCCCGGCAACCGTGGTCCTCAGACAGGCTGAGGTGGACAGAGCCTCCGGAAGAGGGAAACCGAGCACTTCCTCCCCAGCCCTGCTCCCTAAGGTGGTGTGGGTGCCGGGTGGCACCGCCGGCTCACGAATTCCTCATCGAGGGAGCACGGAGCCTCCTCACACATCCCCCACAAAAGCTACTCCTGCCCTAATATCCCACACCAATAACCAAGCAGGAACTAGGAGAAGCAGCACCTGTGGGCATGCCACACGGGCCACCTGCTGGGGTGCTGTCGGCCTTCCGGAGTCCTGCTCAGGTTCCCATGAGGCCAGGGATTGTCCCAGGGAGGAAGGGCTTCTGTGGCTGGTGTTCTTGGCCTTGACTGCTGACTACAACTAGCCCATTAGAGGCTGAATCTGGAGAAGGGGTTTGGGCACAGCCCACTTGCATTTGTCAAGGCAGCTGGAAGGAATTCTTCTCTCTGTCAAATACGACTCGTCGCACACATTCATTTTTAAATTATCATTCAAAATAATCTCAAGCTTTGTAAAGAAAACAAAGGGGGTGAGTGTGGAGAGACCCCCAGGTCCCTACAGGCACACAGCTAGGACCGTCCACCTCGACCACTGCCCAGCGCTCCCAGGAGCTGGCAGGTGAAGCCACACTCAGCCACGCTCTCCGGTGGACTGGGTCATCCCAACCACACTGTGTCATCTCGACCTTACCCCAGGCCACCCATCATTCTCTGTCAAAGAAAGAAATTAGACGGGTTTCACCAGGCCTAGGCCTGGGAATTTACTGCTCTTCTTTAGAAAAAAAGCTTCTTTTACAAGCACAATAAAAACGCAAATTAAATTATAAATGAATCAGGAAAAAAAGATCTCCATCTTTCCAAAGCACAACCCTAGTCACATTTCCCATGGAAGCCTCCAAAGGCCTCCCCTAAAAGTGTTACTAGATCCATGAAGTTCCGGACAATGGATGGGCTTTCCTTCTGCATTAAGCTGAATGACAGCCTCTTCTCGGTCAACAAAAAGGCTTCTGTGCCTTTTGGCTACAATTAAGGCCGAGGCTGGATTTGCACTTTGCTTTAATTACTAATAGATTAATCCAAGTCTAAAAGACCATCCATAATTGGCATTTTGTTGATTGATCTGTCGCAAGGAAATGACCCTGATTATGTCCTTAGTAATCAGTTTATAGCTAATTGGCTTTCTTTCATTAAAATATAAAGAGCCATCCATAAAGAGTGGTCAAGGTGTGTGGGGATCGTAAATGGCACAGAAATGCTGCCACTTGTCAGAGGTGGCTCTTTTTGATTTTTATGGAAATCTAATTATTCAGCGAATTAAGGGATCTGACCTCCTCTGGAAGGTGGTGGGTGACTTCCAGACATTGGACACCCGGGGGAAGGCCAAGGTTGTGCTGTGCTGAGCGAAGATGGCACCGTTTGCAGCCACAGCGAGGACTGATTTATTGTTGACAAAAACGGCAGGGTCAGTAAACAGTAATTACAGACTTGCCACACGGCTCAAAGCAGGCGAAATATTCTGAGATTGCAATTAAATCCTTGGCAGCGACAATGCCTAATTAGGTGTAATCCTTCTGACTCTAGATAAAAACGAAACAAAACAATTCCCAGAGAAGCGAAAACCAGGGTGGGAAAATTCATTTTCTAAGCAAAGGGCAGGTGTATCTCTCGTTTTCCACATCTGTTTGGCTGCAAAAGTCTCCACTGAAGATAACCTGTTATCACCTGCTGTATGCCTGTCTTTTCTTTCTTTCTTTTTTTTTATTTTGAGACAGAATTTGCTCTGTGGCCCAGGCTGGAGTGCAGTGTGGTGATCTCAGCTCACTGCAACCTCCACCTCCCAGGATCAAGCAATTCTCCTGCCTCCGCTTCCGGAGTAGCTGGGGTTACAGGTGCCTACCACCACACCTGGCTAATTTTTGTATTTTTACAAAATTAGTAGAGACGGGGTTTCACCATGTTGGTCAGGCTGGTCTCGAACTCCTGACCTTGTGATCTGCCCACCTCAGCTTCCCAAAGTGCTGGGATTACAGGCGTGAGCCCCCAAGCCCAGCCACCTATGTGCTTTTCAATTGCAGCGTGAGCAGGACCGAGTCAGGAAGTCCGAGCGTGTCTAAAGGACGGCGCTTGCTGAGGAGGAATCCATGCTGCCCTTCCTCTCTTCCCCTCAGAGGAGAAGCCAGTGGGGGCACAAGAGAAGCTGCCAGGACCCCGCCCAAGTCACCACGCCAGAGCCCAGAGCTGCATGAGGGTCCCAATGCCACCTGCTCTGGCACAGCTGCCCAAAGCAGGGCCCGTGCCTCATGTCATTTTTCTCACTGTTTCATTTCCTGCCGTTTTTAGTGAAGATTACCTACTGCCCCATCTTGCT